AAAATTTCATACAATGACTTGTTTATATTTCTCTATACATGATACACTGAAATGTAAATGCAGTATTTATATTCCAACTGATTTATTTTATAATTATATGGTAAAAATGAGAAATTAAGCAATGTTTCGGTCATAATGTGCTGTAACACTTTTGTATTTTTATGTATGATTTTGTAAGCAAGTAGTTTTTAAGTGAGGTGAAACTTGGGGTACACAAGACAAATCAGACTCCTGAAAGGGGTACAGTAGTCTGGAAAGGTGGAGAGCCATTGGATTAGACCATGTATTCCTGGAGAGGACACAGGGTAAACAACGGTAAACAGAGAAATAGTGGGATTTAATTGGATTTAAGATTCTTAATATTTGTAACTGGCCTGTCTCTAAGACAGCTCCTTATATGGCTTCTTCTAAGTAACCGACTTAAAATATTTCCTTCAATTTCATAGGATTTAGTTAAAATGACTTTTTATTATTATTAACTAGACAGGACCCAACAGCCCTTAAATTCTTTTACCCAATCATAAACAGCCTTTAAGTATCTAATTGGACACTAAAACTGGAGTCATAATAATTTTGGGAAACAATACACTTTGATCTTAATTTACCAAAGGGAAAGCATTCCTCAGAGGTGTTCACTCTGTGGGGCATAATCTCTGTTAAAACCTCTCCACAGAGAAACATACAGAAGAGATTGTAATGGAAGTAACCAGCTTAACATTTATGTTCTGTTATTCGTGTTGTTTAATGTCCTTTTTTCCTTCCTTTAATAATAAAATAACACTGGCTAATAATTGTGATGATTTTGCTTGTTCTTAATCATGGTGTCCCCTAAAAAACGTTAAAGAACCCCTGTGACTAAAGCAGTGGGAGCCACACCCCGGAGTTGGCAGCAAGAGAAACAATTAGTAACAGCTGGTCTACCATTTCTTGGTTCTGTAAAACAAATATTTTTAGTAATTTTTAAAATAAAATTCCTTGGTGTCCACCAATTAAAATAAATAAAATTCCTTTCTACCACACAGGAGGGACCCACACCTACTAAGGCTAAACAGGCACACCTGGGCCCATAGGGAAGTTCAGGGCGTGGTGAGACTCCTAAGGCTTGCAGTAGGAAAGGTGCGGGAAGCCCAACTAACCTTATAAGACTAACAATACATGGAGGCTAGGGGCCTCCCGCTGAGCCTTCTCTAGAGCTTGTGGGAGCTGAGGGTTAGGGAGGCCCCTGAAAAAAAGACTTGAGTGGGGATGGAGGGCTGCTAGTTTCCTTGTGGTCTCACAAGCCTCCAAAGGCCTATAGAGATTAAGGCCTTATGATGCACTCCAGCCAGTTGGGAAACTTACCCTGGTAGAGACTTCTCCTAGGTACCTCCTAGGGATTGCAGAGTCTTAGAATGTATGCATTAATAAGGCTTCCCAATTGCAGACATCAGGAAGGAAGGAATGCCCCTTTCTACGCACTCTCCCCTCCACCATCCCAAGTTAGGACTTCAAAAAAATAAGGAAATTCCGACATAAAATACTTCATCAAGGTGAAGTTAAGGTTTCTGTCCTTGGTTGGCATGCTTATTATCTTTCAGATATATTAGAATCACACAAGAAATTAGAAGTCTAAGGAATTCAGTTAACAACATTTTAAAGTATGGAAGTCAAGATAGCCAAATTGCCATGGTTTTGCCCCAGAAGAAACCACTGAATGTCTGAGAGGATTCACTTATAGAGGCAGAACTAAATATGCATTTTTTGTTATTCTAGGTTTGCTATCTGTTAACTTAGAGAACTATAACAATCTACAAATATTAGAAGAGCACTAAGATGAGGAGAAAATTGTTTAAGGTGGTGCATGATGGTAAAACTGGGAGCAATGGCATGAAACTGAGGGAAAAAAAATTTCACAAGCTAGCAGGAAAATGTTTGTACTAACTCTGTTGGACTGTGAAATAGTCTGTCAGTGGATGTGGAAGATGGCCTGGCACTGGAGTATTTTGAAATGGATAGAATTTTGCCTAATACAGTCAAAGTCCTCTCATATCCCTAATTTTTATGATTTCGCATGGAGAACAACTTTTGACTGTTACTACAGGGACCATTTTCCATCTATTTCAAGAGGAGAGAAACCTTTATTTTTTTTTTCTTGGTGCTGGCATAGAGAAATTTGAAGGAACAGTCTGAGCATCACACAAGTGGTATGTTTTATGTTTTGAAGAGCTTCATTTAATGATGGTGCAAGAAAAGCTGCTATTAAATCTGGTCAAGGAAAGGTAAAACACTTGTAATGAAATTCAAAACTCTCAAAAAACTTTATTTTGTCATTTTAACGTCTGCATAAGCACGATGCAGATCTGAATTAAACTGAATGCTATGTGACAAGCTACAGAGGAAATCAGGCAAATCCAGAGTCTACCCTTAGGAAACATTGCAAGGCCTTCCTCTTTGAGAAGCTGCCCACCTAGATTATCACTACAAAAGTTTTTCCCCCCCCCTGCTCTCCTGCTGGTAATAGCTCATCTTAAGTGATCACTCTCCTTACAGTGTGTATGATAACACCGATTTTTTCATGTTCTGTGTGTATATAAATCTCCTCACTGTATTTTCCACTGAATGCATCCGATAAAGTGAGCTGTAGCTCACGAAAGCTTATGCTCAAATAAATTGGTCAGTCTCTAAGGTGCCACTAGTACTCCTTTTCTTTTTGCGAATACAGACTAACCCGGCTGCTACTCTGAAACCTTTCAGCCATATGTGTCACACTCAATTCAAACACTCCTTTTATTCCTAAGCTCCTAGCAGCTGCCCTCCCCAAAGGAAAACCCTACTCCAAGCAGAGTTTTGACCCTGTGAAAGGAGAGGTATCAAAGACTCATGAAGTTCAACAGGGACTTCCTATTGCTAATGATTAGGCATGGAAGGTGCTCAGATACAACAGTGATGGGTGACAGCATAAAATTCTAAAATAGATTAGATTAGATAAGATAAATTTCATAATCTGGAGCCTCACATCCACAATAACATTAAGAGAAGAAAATAGTCATTTTTTCTATCAGGCTTTTCAGCTTTCACTGTGTTCTGTCAGTTATTTTCTTGGCTTGCTTTGACTGGCTGCTGCTTCCTGGAAAGTTGGAGTTGTAAGTATGTGTACTGTATTTGAATGGATGTCTGGATGTTTCAAACCTCCAGCTGGAGTTTGAGCTTTGGGAACATACTGGAATATTTAGGTTTGCTCTTGTGTAGGTCCTTTTTACAGTATTTCACGGGAGAATTGTGGACGACTTTCCCCAATCTTATATGCCAATGCATCTTCATTGTTGGGTTATTGTACCAAAGTGAGAGCTGTTTCAACAGCTGATTCAGGTTTATCGTAATTTTTCTTTTCATATTATATTTACTTTCAAATAATAAAAAAAAAACAAGTTGGTTCACAAATTAAGTGAGAGGAATAGTAAAGACACTAGTGTTTAAAGTCCACCTCTCCCACCTTGACATAGTACTGCTACAATTATTATCCAATTTCTCCTACAGAGACACCGGGTAAAATTTCAGTAGCTATTCTAACTTTCAGTAACCCCTTCCACTGAAGCATGATGCCAGTTGACTTGACCCTCCCTATGCCAATGGTAAAGTATACTCTGAATGCAGCACTGCCTTTCAATCAATTCATGTTCAGCTGCTGTATTACTGAAATGAATGTCAGCTACAGAAACTTTAGGATGGTTTTGATGGTAGGGTTACTACAAAAGTGCTGCTGAAACCCCAGCTTGCAACTCACTCAGAGAAGAGGCTGGAGGAAAATGCTGCTGATACATTGGGGCAAAGGAAACTTGTGCTTATTAAGTATCATTAAAAGCTATACCCACATACACATTGAAGATAGCATTTCCAAACTGTTTTGTGGAAGGTTCGCCAAGCAACTCCCAGTGACTTGTATGTGCATAATATGGCTGTAACACCAAGCAGGGATTTGGGAATTTATTACAGTATTTTCAGAGGCAGCTTCCATTCAAAGTAACACAGAATTACAGCCCTCATTCAGGAAATCACTTAAGCACATTCTTGACTCCATCCCTATGCAGGAAAAACATGTAAGCATGTGCTTCAGTGCTGTTTTGAACAGAGATGATTTTCTGAATATCCAGAGCTCAATAAAAATGTTCCATTATTGATATAAATTTATGGTAATGACAGGATTTTGCCACAGCAGCTGAAATTTTATTATGATTTTAAATTGCCTTTTACCGTTGAACACAATTTTGGTTATTTAACATCTCTTCTCCTCTGGTAATGACCAAACCCTCCTACAGAGAGAAAATTATATATTGTGAAAGGGTTGGGCCAGATGGCTACAGGAGAGTAATAGAAGGCAGATATATTAGCTCCAGGTTAAGTAGGTCCCTTTTCCCTGGGTAAGGTAACAGGGAAGGTTCCAGAACAATCAGGAATCTTCTGGAGACAATTAAGACAGACAGGCTGATTAGAACACCTGCAGCCAATCAAGAAGCTGCTAGAATCAATTAAGGCAGGCTAATCAGGGCACCTGGGTTTAAAAAGGAGCTCACTTCAGTTTGTGGTGTGCGTGTGAGGAGCTGGGAGCAAAAGGTACTAGGAGCTGAGAGTGAGAACGCGGACTGTTGGAGGACTGAAGAGTACAAGCATTATCAGACACCAAGAGGAAGGCCTGAGGGTGAGAATAAAGAAGGGTGAGAGGAGGCCATGGGGAAGTAGCCCAGGGAGTTGTAGCTGTCGCACAGCTGTTCCAGGAGGCACTCTAGACAGCTGCCTTCCACAGGGCCCTGAGCTGGAACCCGGAGTAGAGGGCAGGCCCGGGTTCCCCCCAAACCTCCCAACTTCTGGTCAGACACAGGAGGAGTTGACCTGGACTGTGGGTTCACGAAAACGGCCAAACTGAGGGCTGCCGTGAAGCTCCAAGGTGAGCAAATCCGCCAAGCGTGAGACCCACCAAGGTAGAGGAGGAACTTTGTCACTATATATATATATATTAATATTACCTGAAAATGCACTTTTTGGTCAATGTGAGGCACACTAAACTGTTTCAGGAAGCGTTCGTCTTCACTCCAGAACAGGCGAATGTCAGGGATATCATAGAGAATCATGGCCAGCCTCTCTAATCCCAGGCCAAATGCCCAGCCAATTTTCTGCTCAGCACCAGCTGCAATAAACAAAGATAAAAATCCAAGGGCTTAAGTGTGGCACATGAAAAATTGCTAATACAATGCCCCTCTCTTTCCCAAGGAAGATGCTAAAGAAGCATGAAAGGAAAAAAGTCTGCAAGTAATTGTCAGATGATGGAGCTAAAGGCTGATCCTCATCCCATCAAAGTCAGTGGCAAATGTGATCGAGGAAGCATGACCGAGTTCAAAAGTAAGCAAGGCTAGTGACCAGGAAGTCTTGCTCACATGGCTCTCTGGCTGCAGTTAGACTTTGAAGACACAATTAGCAGCACTGTATATTGCCTTCCTTTACATTACTTCTCTATTGTGCTTATAGGTTAAACACTTAACATTTTATTCAATTATGCTGTATAACACATACAAAAATCAGTTTACAATCCAAAGCATTTTAGTTGGGCTGATAGGCCAGGCCAGTGCACAGTGAACACTGTCACTAGCATTTGGGAGGATCGAAACTGTCCCTTTCAAGGTGACAGTAAGATCAATTCAGACCACCAACTGTATGCATACTTTGCAGAACAAACAGGTTTAGGACGCTGCTAGTGTTAATAACAACACCTCTACCCAGACAGCTCTCAGATCAGCAGAGGCTTTTACACCTGGAGAAAGCTGTTACTCCCAGATAAGCAAGGTTCTATTACTGTAGCAGTTAAATAATAATTAATAATTCTTTGTACTTATATAGCACTCTGTATGTGAGGATCTCACAGATCTTTACAGATGTTCATGACACAAGACCCCTGTCAAGAAGGTGAATATTCTTATCTTCATTATTTACAGTAGCGTAAATTGAGGCACAAAGATATTAGAGTAATTTTTTTTAAAAACGGAGCCTAAAGTTAGACTCCAAAATCCACATATAGACAGCTGCCTGATTTTCAACCGTGCTAAGTTCCCAACAGCTCCCAGTGAAGGTCAGCCTTATAAACAATCAAGCAATTGCCTAAATGTGTATTTAAGCTTCTGTTTTTGAAAACCTTGACCTAAGAAATGTGCCCCAGTTCACAGATGAAGCTGGTCATAGAATTCTGTTTCCTGATTTCTATCTTTGTTACCATCCATGGAAGAAAACTCCAGCAGGGAGCCCATGGGAGCCCTCTTGTAATTAGGGTAATTGCTACCGCCTAGAGATGCACTGTCCCCATTAGTGCAGAAGAGGAACATCACAGAGTCCTAGATTTTTGAGGGCAGACATAACAAGAATTAGAAAAGAAGCATAGTCATTGTTTTGATTTATTTAATTAACCTGAATCTCCTTATGTTACTTAGAATACTGAGTCCCTCAGCAGGATTCCTGTGCGCTTTATTTAACAACTGGCTCACATTGCACTTTCCAGACAATTGCAGTGGGAGGTTAATCCACTTTATAAAGAATAATCCATAGCAGGGATAGTCAATAGGCAGACCGTGGGCCAAATCTGGACCGCCAGACACTTTTGAACGGATCGCAACATCTTTTTATTTACTTATTACCTTTATTATTGGGTTTTTTATTATTTTCTCTGGAGGCAATAACTTGACAATAACTTGACAAAGAAATCAGGACCTTGGCAAAAAATAATTGATTACCCCTGATCCATAGAGTCAGAACTGTAAATACCCTGCACTATCCTTCTTAGGGTACAGAGTGAAGTACACATTCAGGTTTTTTGAAAGCAGACAAGATAAGAAGCAGTCTCTGCATATACGTCACACTAAAAAGGGTGTATTTTGCAAGTTTGGTTACCCCAATTTTTAGATCATATAAAGGGCAGACACAAAAAGACACAAATGTCACCAAATGACTTTGTTTTTTTAAACTCATACTGAAAAAATAAAGGAAACTGAAAGCAAAGGCTGCTGCTAAGTCATTTGGAAGCCACTACAGACGACTGTGTTAATTACGAAGACACAATAGCGACTCCATAAAGTTGCACTGGGCTTTGTGCTTAGCTTCTCTGCTTTGAACATGATAATGTGCCCTCCTCAAATTTAAAGCACTTATTCTTTTAGTATAGAATGAATTTTTGGAGAATTTTCATGTAAGACTGTTGATTAGTTTACAAGGTATAAGTATTTAAAAACTGAGAAATTTGTATAATCTACTCTCTCAGCATATGGACGCTCCAGAATCCAAGCGTTCATTTAAAAATAATTATGTTTGTAGTCCTTACAGATGTGAAGAAAAGATGAACCAAAAGCAAATCAGTGTTACAGTGTGGTCTTCCTGAACTGTATCCCTTTGCTGTCTTGTCACTTGCCTCCTTAGATGATAAACTTTTTAGGTCAGGGATCACAGGTAGAATCCCAGCCATACTCAAGTCAATGACAAAACTCCCACTGACTTCAAAAAGGCCAGGATTTTACACCATATCATTGTACAGTGCCTAGCACAACGGGGCCCTGATTTACTCTCAGAGCACTACTTAATACATAATAAAAACAGAAATAGACTGCCTGAGACAATAGCTCTGGAAGGTATGAACTGCCACTGCTTGTCTCAATAGAGGAGATAACTCTGAAACCTAAAGACGCCAATTTAAATGCCAACAACGTTAACTATTTCACTAACCAATCCATGCAACAAACCTCAATGCCAACTCTGCCCACATATCTACACCAGCGACACCATCACAGGACCTAATCAGATCAGCCACACCATTACCGGTTCATTCACCTGCACGTCTACCAATGTAATATACGCCATCATGTGCCAGCAATGCCCCTCTGCTGTGTACATCGGCCAAACTGGACAGTCCCTACTTAAAAGGATAAATGGACACAAATCAGATATTAGGAATGGCAATATACAAAAACCTGAAGGAGAACACTTCAATCTCCCTGGAGACACAATAGCAGATTTAAAGGTAGCCATCCTGCAGCAAAAAAACTTCAGGACCAGACTTCAAAGAGAAACTGCTGAGCTTCAGTTCATTTGCAAATTTGATACCATCAGCTCAGAATTAAACAAAGATTGTGAATGGCTAGCCAACTACAAAAGCAGTTTCTCCTCCCTTGGTGTTCACACCTCAACTGCTGGAAGAGGGCCTCATCCTCCCTGATTGAACTAATCTCGTTATCCCTAGCCTGATCCTTGCTTGCATATTTATACCTGCCTCTGGAAATTTCCACTACATACCTCTGATGAAGTGGTATTCACCCACGAAAGCTTATGCTCCAATATGTCTGTTAGTCTATAAGGTGCCACAGGACTCTTTGCTGCTTTTACAGATCCAGACTAAGACGGCTACCCCTCTGATATTTCGCTACTGCTCATTTGAGCAGACAGAACTAACAAAGGTGACAAATTAATCTGATGACAAATGGAACTGATGACTGTGTATGTTTTTTGATATGTAAAATTTTAGCAGAAGAAGGTCTTGATCTAGACTGTTTTTAAATATTACTAATGTGCATATTTTGAGTTATGAACAATTTAATAACAACCATTTCTGTTTATTCTGCAAAGTTTAACGTAATATTATTTGACAAATTAATTTACTGTAAAAATAAAGTGTATTTCATGTCAGTTATTTATTTTTTAGATGGAGTGGGTGCCACTGCATATTTCTGCAGTATGTGCATATGGCAGCCAACTGAGAAAGCATTCTTCATCCAAGCAACTACCTTGCAAGCTCAGCACTTCAGTGGCTGACCTATCCATAAGTACCTGCTCCAAGAACTTATCTTTCAGGTCTCCTGAACACTAGGAAGCCCACAGGAAGGAAACTGCTCTCCTGAAGACTTTCTGAATTTTAGGAGGCATATGTAACAAGGTTCTCCTCAGCTGGCTACCCTACTTGAACTTGTCAAATCCCTATGGCACCCTCAGAACACACCCCTCCTGCTGTGTCCCTTCCCTGCTGTCTTGTTTTCTATTTGTAAATTATAAGGCCCCTAGGCAGCAAAACATTTAAGCATGTGCTTAACATTAAGCATATGAATAGTCCCAGTGCAGTCACAGGGACTAGAGCATATTCTTAAATGCTTGCTGAACGGGATTTCTAAGGTGCTTAAAGTACATACTTAAGTGCTTGAATCAGGGTCAAAGCATATACATTTTTGAACACACATATTTCATGAAAGTACAAAAGTTATCACTACAGAATTTATAGATATAAAATGTACATGAATAAAAATTAAACACCTATACTAACAAGAAATTAACTGCTTGGGGCAAGTGGGCAAGAGAAAGTGATGAGGGAGCTGGAAGTGACTGCCACAGACTTAAAGCTGGGATGGAGACAAGCTGAGGGCTCATGAGTGAATCTGGTCAGGCAGCAGGTTTAAGGGAACTGGGGAAGCAATCATAGCGTCTCTGTTTAAAATGTCACAAGCCAATGGAGATAGCTTGAACATCTGTTCAAGCTTTCTCCACCTGGCTCTCAAAGCTTTCAGGCTGCCAGGCTCTTGATGCTTCATGTGGAAAGATCTGACCACTCAGCAGTGGAGCATCATTGAAAGTTTCTTTGCCCCATACACACAGTTTTAAAGCAGCCCTTCTCTCCGGCCCCAGGGTCAGTCTCCCATCCTGGGTCCTCAGTCCTCATAGATAAATACATTATATATATTAAAGGAAAAATCCCCCCCACAACCACTCAAACGCCACCAAGAAATTCTCCATTACAAATCTTTGTTAATATAGAATGAAGATTACTCAAATGTATTTCAAACACAAACGTGGACACAAACACCAAAGAAATCATAAGTTAAGGAAAAATACATGACTAATAGAACACGATTCTCCAGACATTAGCCCACTACCATCACACTGTTCAGCCACTCTAACACTCTCTACTCACTCAATGTCTGTACCAAACAACTACAGATAATTCAATGTTCTTTGGGATGAACTAGAAGGTGCTATACTCTAGCTAAGAGACATATCCTGACCTGCCAAAGCCGAGGGGTTAAAGCTACTGAATCCTTTATTACAGCTATGGATAGAGATATACATTTTTCTAAGGAAACAAAGAGCTTTAAAGCCGTGGGTGAGATA